CCCACCCCCGCACCTATGGGGGCAGAGGTAGGCCCCCACTAAACCATGCTGAGGGCTGGGAGAGGAGGAACTACCCATCTGGCAGCACTTGGAGGACCCTGCCCAGGGTGGGGGAACCTCCCACTGAGGCACAGGGATGCCCCTATGTGTGCTGATGTCCAGCACTGGCTCAGCCTCAGGCTGGAGGGAATGTTCCCCTCATATCTGTGGGGGAAGGGCTAAGCTGGCACCAGACCATGCTGAGGGGTGAGAAGGGGGAATTCTCCCCGGGGGAGCTCTACCAGGGCAGGGAAGCCCCCATTGAGGCATGAGGACCCAAGCCAACCCTGGGCTGGAGGAACTGCTCCGCCACCTCTCACTTGCGCATCAGTGACTGGCGCAGGGTTTGGGGGAAACCCTTGCACATCAAGAATTGGGGCTGGGGCTGGGGCCCTCTGTTCCCCTGTCTTACCCCCCTGCTCTGCTGGGCTGACAGGTATAGGCAGGACCAGGGCTGCAGAACAGGGGCTTTACTGCCTCAGCTCTGTGACAGCCTGGGGTTGGGGCCAGCCCTGTTTGGCTGGAGCAGACAGTGTGAGCCAAGGGCAGCCCACTCAACCTTCATTAAGGAGTTTGCAGGAGGGGTGCAAACCATTCTGGGGTGCTGGGAGACTATGAGTTCATTTGAGTCAGGAGGGAATCTGGGACAGAAGTGCAATAGACCAGTTTAACTTAAATCAGTTACATTTAATACTACCCCCCCTTGGGGAGCATGGGGAATAAGCAGGAGGAACTCACTGTCCGGATAGCTAGTACAAACCTGGACATAATAGGGCTCACAGAAACCTGGTGGGATTCATCCCATGACTGGGTGGTAAAAGTAGGGGCTACAAACTATACACGTAGGATAGAACGGGGAGAAAAGGTGGGGGTGTGGCACTCTACATCAAAGAGCAATACACATCCTCAACTAACAGGATGGGGACAGAGGAGGGGCAGGCTGAAGTGCTCTGGGTCAGAATACAAGGGGGCATGTGGAAAGGGTCTTAACGGTGGTTATCTACTACAGACCACCCAACCAAGGAGAAGAGATGGACCACAAATTCTCAGGTCAGCTTGAGGAGGCACTTAAAGCAAGGGATGTAGTCGTCATGGGTGATCTAAATTACCCGGACATCTGCTGGGAGGAGCAGTCAGCCAGGTCGGACCGCTCACAAAGCTTCCTTGCTGAGATACAGGACCTCCGCTTAACCCAGGAGGTGCACAGTCCCACCAGAGGGAATGCCCTGCTGGACCTGGTCCTGGCCACAGGCAATGACCTGGTGAGGGGACTCCAGGTTCTTGACCACCTTCTCGAAAGCACAGTGGCTGAAAGAGATCTTGGAATCATTATCGGTTCCAAAATGAACATGGGCCACCAATGTGAGGATGTGGTCAGTAAGGCTAACCGCACCTTACCATGCATCCACAGATGCATCACAAGGAGGACCAAGGAGGCAATCCTCCTCCTCTATGTTACACTGGTCAGGCCACAGCTGGAGTGCTGTGTCCAGTTCTGAGTGCCACGCTTTAAGAAGGATGTGGCCAGCATCAAGAGGGTCCAGAGGAGGGCCACTCGCATGATCTGGGGACAGCAGGTCAGGCCCTATGAGGAGAGGCTACGGGATCTAAACCTGTTCAGCCTTCACAAGAGAAGGCTGAGGGGACCTGGTGGCCATCTATAAACTTATCAGGGGGGACCAGAGGGGAATAGGAGAGACCCTGTTCCCCTGAGCACCTCCCGAAGTAACAAGGAATAAAGACCATAAGTTGTTTGAAAGTAGGTTCAGGCTGGACATTAGAAGGCACTACTTCACTGTCAGGGCAGTTAGGATCTGGAACCAACTTCCAAGGGAAGTGGTGCTGGCTCCTACGTTGGGGTCTTTAAGAGGAGGCTTGATAATTACCTAGCTGGGTTCATAAGAACCCAGTATTCTCTCCTGCCCAGGCCAGGGCGTCAGACTTGATGATCTACTTAGGTCTCTTCTGACCCTACATCTATGAATCTATGAATCCATCCAGGTTTATCTTAAATTGGTTTTGGATGTTTTTAAACTGGTTTATGTGCACTGAATTTCTGTTCTGTTACAGATTTAAATCAGTTCCCATAAACATAAAACAATTTATGCTTAATGTCTATCCCTATCCCTGTTGAGTTACAATTTTGAATAATTTTCTGATCACTTATATTGGTTTATGTATAATTTCTGTCCCTAGCCATAAGAACATAGATTATATTCCATGGGAAATATATCATGTAACTACCTTTCCCCTCTCTGCCTGCAGCCCTGTAAACAAAGTATTTATGATTTTGGTGCTCTACACTGCTTGGAATGTGTGGTGCACATTTTTTCTGCATGGCTCCAAAGCGGAGAAAATGGAGTGCTGCCATTTCCTAGCTGAGAGATAGGCAATGCGGCACAATTTGTAAATGGTAGGAATCTAATGGTTTCAAGTAACAAATCCCACTGGGATAGCTAGATACTACTCCTCCCAACCCATCCAATTGTGGGGACTGTAGCTAGCCAGATCCTGGACATTTGGGGAACACAATGATCTCCCTCACCACAAATCTGGAGACAGTAATGAGTTTATTAAACATCCTGGGTAACAAG